CAAGTTTTCTTGTATAGTATAAATAAATATTCAATCATCATTTTCTTTACTGAATACTTTGACTATATCTATTCACATAATACAGATGCACAACCGATTTTCCAGTAATAGGTAGTCTGGCACCTCTTTTAATCTGGACAAAAGTACGAATAAGCATATGAATTTCACGTGATTCTCCAACTAATTCACCAGGGGGTCACCAAGGGATCACCAGGTGGCTTTATGCAGGGTGTGTGATCATTTGATAGTTTGTTCTCGTGTGATTGGTGCATCTTCATCGATTTTGCGTACATCCTCGCCTATTTTCCTTATATTCAACCCTAATTCTGTCTTTCCAGGCAAAGTGCAAGCGTGTCTGTGGTGGTATCAAGCATAAACACAGTCGATATCGATGCAACACAATGTGGATGCGCTGAAAAACACAACCGCGGTGTTTCGGTGCGAAAACCATGCGATATATATGGTATTAGTCCATCGACTCTCATATCACAGAATGAAACCGTAATATATTTTATATTAATACCTGTACCTGTTTCATTTATAGTAATAAACTGTAGCATTTACACTAATGTGTTTTATTCCACTATGTAATTCAGATATATTTTATATTTAATAATTTAATACATGGCTGGCCAAAAATCACGAAATGGTTTGAAAGTTTAATCATTTTTTAATAAATTAATTTTTTTTTTAAATTTAAATCAATTTTTCAAAATTTGCCCCGTATTTATTGTATATGACGCTATGGTATTGTAAATTTAAAACAATATAAATGGATTCTTAAATCTTGTTGAGATGTTGAGTGTTTCCCCGTGCGTGTATTGAAATAAGGACAAACACATACGTAGGGAAAAATACTGGTATATCTGAAGAGGTATTTACACCAGAGAGATTAGTAGTCAAACGAACGCAGGTTAGTCAGTAACAATCAGAAAGAGTATAAAGTCCAACTGTATCTTCCGGTAGAGAGACGGAAGTGTGATGGTCACCTGATTTCCCAGAACTCTCTAGAACTGTCCTATTAGTAGTAGAGAGATCAGTCCATACTGATGAGAAGGTGGGTGGCCCCAACAAATCTAAAGACCTCTTTGTTATTTTGACCTACCCTGTATAAGTTCCTTGTCGATGATATATTTGGGAAAATGGAATAAATCAATAAACAAAATAATAATAATGAATAATTATAAAAGAAATATATTTTATCATGATGCCAGTAGTAAAGAAACCGAAAATACCATCTCCACACTTGGATTCGTCAAACGTCGTTCGGTGGCGCTGGTTAAGTCAATAAAAAAAAACATTTTCTTTCTGTCTCATTCCTCACCACCACCTTGCTCCAAGATGTAGCACATCGTAGTAATTACATTCCCACAGGTGAAAGTTAGTTTCCTCGATCCACTGATGACCATACTCTCTTTTCATGGCATTCATACGTGTCTCCAAAAACTCCACTTAAATCAACTTCTTTGTTGGTCGTTCCAATTAAAATCAAGGCTGATTTGAGCTTGCATATTGTAAACTTGCTTAAACCTTACAACGATAAAGTAAGTGCAATCTTTCTTTGGTCGTTCCAACTCTGTGCAAGACTGACTTGAGCCCGACTATTAATACGATTCTTATACGTATTTTCCCTGACTTCTGAACTGAAAAGAAAACGTACATACTCAAGAGACATTTCAGTTTATATTTTTTTAAAAAAGCGAATAAACGGTCCGTGGTAGAAATCCAAGGTTTAGGGGTGCCTCTTCTTTGTTTACATGAGAACACGCACCCACCTATAATACGCACAAAGACGTAATCTTTTAAATCCCATATAGAATAAAGATACAGGAGATGTATAATTAGGGATCAGAAGGCTATTATTGAAACGTTGTAACGTGACATCGGTTGGTCCGGAAATTGATAATCCGATACATTTTTTAATCGGTATTACCTCCATGTAAGGCAGTAAAGCCGCTAAGACACAAGGGGTTACTGGGTGTAGAAGAATTAGAAACATAAACATTAGTAATGAGTAGGAAGAAAAAAGTAATCAGGAGGACAGAGGATACATTACATTTTAAGTTTTGAAGATTAAATTTGGCTGGAAAGCATGGAGCCGGTAGAGAGTTCCACAAGCGAGAAGTGTCAGAAAAATAATTGTTTATGGTTGCATCTAACCAGTTTTAACTGTAAATTGATGAGATCTCAACGCCAGTCTAGTACTGCGCTTAAATTTTAAAAAATCTAGGTACCATAGCGAAGAGCTCATCCGAACAATTACCATGAAAGTATTTATAGAAAAGACAAAGGGAGGCAACCTTTCGGCAGTAGGAAAGTGACTGAATCTGAGCCACCAGATCAGGACCTATAATATTGCAGATTCTTCCTTGGATTTTATCAAAGAATTCAACGTATGACGCAGCAATATTCTAAGGAAATAAATTGTCTTCATTCTTTTTTGTAGAAAGCTACCCAATAATGGTGAGAAGAACCACTTGACGCAAAATATTTGTTACGAAGATTTAGATACCTTACTTTGTAGTAACAGAAAGAAAGAATCTAGGCTACAAGAGGCAGGCTATAGGATCTTACCTGTACCATTATGGTTAGCCAAATGTACCGTAAACAAGAAAATAAGGTTACTATTGGGATTTTAGCTCCTGCTTAATTCCTGCATTTGCTATTTGCTTTGATAGGGTATAATCATTAAAGTGAGCGAAGCACTGACGTAATTCTTATTAAATGCTAACTAGAGCACTTCGACCTGGTGTAATGTCTCGCTATCTCAATTACCACTGAATAGTGAGTTCTTATCCTAACTGAGTGTTTCATACTTTCGGCCTTGTGCCACATCTAAGCTACGCTTAGAAAATCACCGCCTATTCCCCAATTAGTGTGCATCGTCCAAAATTGGACATGTGAGTCAAAACGGACAGTCTATGAAACCTGTTCTGTCCAGGGGAGAGTTTTAAGGTAGACACCATGAAGAGATGATGTGTTCCTGACACGTGAATAAAAACGCAGCTTCTTGGAATATGATGCGCTGGACTTGTGACTAAAGACTGCCTTTGTATAATCCGCTAGCTTTTCTTTTCAAGGTCAGAGAGAAGGTATACAGTACATTTCCACACTTTGTTGGTATGATCTTTCTCTATAAAATAAAACTCATTGACGTTCTTTCTATTTTCCTTTAAACTTATTTATTAATTTATTGGAAATGTTTCGGTAAATATCTGTACCTACAGCAAGTATTATTAAGGCAGTTCACATATATTTGATAAACCTAACACCTTATATCATGAAAGCAATCGAAGCGATCAGAAATTATCCGGCCATGCACAAAACTTTACAAAAGTTACATTAGACCAACAAATGGATTTTTTTTCTGCTTCATCTAGGGTGGAGATGCTCTTTACCTTTTCCAGACTTGCTAGAATCGAAAGACGATTACGTGACTTTGTGCGGAATGACATATTTTCCACACTACAGTTCCTTTCTCCAAAATGTAATGCCGAAAGTTTGTCTCTAGTCTATCGCTATTTTTATGGTAAATGTTCGGACGAACTCCATTCATTAGTGCCATCAATTCAAATCTTTACATTAAAGACCCGTTTTGTTGCATTCTCACTCTCTCCGTATTCCAATTGTAAGGAGGAAGTTCCTCTCAGATTAATTTTTCCAAGAACCGCTGCCTTGTAGAACTCTCGCATATGTTCTTCCTGGAACGTGAAAATATTAACCTTTTCAGGTCAATAGTCAATCGTTAACCATCCTCCATATCCAAATAACCCTCACTTTCTACTCTTACATTCTGCTCACACATCTCATTCAGTAAACTCTACCTTGAGTGGCTTTTAAGCATTGTACTGGATAACTGTTGTAGAGTAGTTTTCCAGTGGAGGCTTGTATTTCAATAAGTGGTCCTAAATTAGGTTCGACGTACAAAACGTTAGGAATTTGAAATAAGAGTTAATGACGCAGCAATCTAGTTGTGATGGTTGATACTTCAATGTCCGACATCGACTGACTCACTCAACACCACTAAGCCCAACTGGCTACCGCTGCTACTACTACTATTTATTATGTGTGGGAGAGTCTGTTAATAGAATAGGTACGTCAGGTATAACAATAACCATTAATAAAAAAAAAAACATCAGCATCTAATAGTATTTATACATAATTTTTAAACTTCTCGTTCAGTCGGGGCGCCTATTTGACAGAAGGGAGGCGTGAGAGACTTAGAACTAAGGAAACTTTGAAAATATTGGGAAGCAAATAAACAGTTGTTTAACTATTTTATTTTACCGTTTATATTTGTGTATAAGCCTATTTCATGTATAGTGCGAAGCCTGAAATTTTTGTGAAATTTTGCCACCCCATCTTCGGAGCAATACTAGTGGACCTACCGTAGTCAAATATTGCAGTACTGGGCATCATCTTGGAATATTTTATAGCAAATAAATGGTCTTCATTCTTTTTTGTAGAAAGCTACCCCATAATGGTGAGAAGAACCACCTATCGCAAAATATTTTATAGGAATGTTTAGATACCGTACTTTGTAGTAACAGAAAGAAAGAATCTACGCTCCAGGAGGCAGACTACAGGAGCTTACCTGTACCGTTAAGGTGAGCCAAATGTACCTTGAAACTGATCATTGAGAATGGAGGCCTACCAGGTAGGCTACGGCCATGGAAAATCCATTAATTTTAACCCATCCAGAAATTATTCACCTGTGTATAATGTAACCGGTCGCCGAAAATGTATGATTTTTAACCTCTTCACAAAATTACCTACTAAAAACCGATCATGCAAACTCGCACTATACTATATATATATATATATATATATATATATATATATATATATATATATAAATCGGTCAAAAATAGACACATTATGAAATTCACTAAGACTAATATAAGATCGTTGCCGCCAGGAATACATAACACACACTGACCAGTTTATACGTGTACGTGGGGGGTGTTGCTAATGAGATATATTTTGCGGGTGTCTTTTGT